ACAGAACACCAGCTTGATCAACACCAAGAAGAAGCTGGAAACAGACATTGCCCAAATCCAGGGTGAAATGGAGGATACGATCCAGGAAGCCCGCAATGCTGAAGAGAAGGCCAAGAAGGCCATCACGGATGTGAGTCGGGGGCTCCTTTCACTGCTGATGGTGGATGTATTCTCGCCCAAACTGTCTCCAGCCCCAAAATGGCTTTGTCCCTTTGCTCTCGTCAGGCAGCCATGATGGCAGAAGAGCTGAAGAAGGAGCAGGACACCAGCGCCCACCTGGAGAGGATGAAGAAGAACCTGGACCAGACGGTGAAGGACCTGCAGCACCGTCTGGATGAGGCTGAGCAGCTGGCACTGAAGGGAGGCAAGAAGCAAATCCAGAAGCTGGAGGCCAGAGTGCGTAGGGCTGGTATTTGTGCATGAGTGAGCATGTCATGTAAGCAGCCGGCAGGGAAGCTCCAAAGATGGGCTTCTCATTGCAGGTGCGGGAGCTGGAGGGGGAGGTTGATGCTGAGCAGAAGCGCAGCGCTGAAGCCGTGAAGGGTGTGCGCAAGTACGAGAGGAGGGTGAAGGAGCTGACCTACCAGGTAAGGCAGGAGGCCTCCTTGGGCTGACATAGCCTCTTTGCAGGAAGTAAAAATTTTTGCACGTGATTGCCAATGGGAATTGCTAACTCACACGGTGGGGAAACCAATTGACTCTCTTTCCTGCTTACCGACCACTCTAGTCTGAGGAAGACCGGAAGAATATTCTCAGGCTGCAGGATCTGGTGGACAAGCTGCAAATGAAGGTGAAATCCTACAAGAGACAATCTGAAGAGGCTGTAAGTATCACCCTGAGTGCTTGGCAAGAAACACTTTCCAAGTGGGTAGCACGGTCATTAAGGAGACGAATATAAGAAACTTGGAAAGTGCCAGTGGTCAATAATGGAGGGCTTCAAGTTCTTTGAAATGCTTATAAATTAGCCCAGCCTTTGAGAATGAAATCAATGAGCGAAGAAGAAGTTTAATGAGGAGGGCAAGTGCACATAACTTTTTTTTGCATCAGAACAACAAAGTAGTTTGTAAGAAGGAGTTCTTTTTAATAATACCGACAGTACAATGTACTAGAGAAGTTTTGAGAAGAACATATTTTCAGAATTTTGAAACTCGTATAGCTATCTTTACGGAAGATGCCTGTGACCCTTGCAATTCAGAGAAGCTTGGTAGTTATGTGGAAGCAAGTGGCCTGCCAAAACTCCAGAATTCTCTGCCTAGGACCAGAAAACATTGCCTAAGAAATCCTTCTGATTCAGCATATGCTCATCTACTACAAGGAATTCCACATTTTGGATACGGCCAGGGAAATTTCAGCAGATAGAGGTGTGGGAGGTACACTCCCAAGCCACATTGTGCACTGCAGTTAGCATTGTGCAAGGAGCCTTTGCCTTTCTCTGGGCATGCTACAGTCAGGGATGAACTGAGGGAAGTCCTGCAGCCTGTGAATTTATGAATGTCCGAGCATGGCTTCTTTGCTGCTGCAAACAGTCCAGTACAGACAAGGGCTTCTGGACTCAGATAAGGGGATTTGTGAGAGGGACACTGAGGAGATCTCATGGACTGTCTCTTACAAATTCCTAACCCCACCTCAGGGTCTGCAGAGGTAGTTAAATATTTAATTCCAGTGCAAACAAAATCTGACTTCCAGCTGCCCAGTTTGTTTCCTTCCCACATTCCTGAGCAGAATTATGTTCAAACCTTGTTGTGCTCTGTCTACAATGGGTCTTCTAAAAAGGGGAGGATGAGGAGGTCTGTGTGAGGCTTCTGTGTAAGCAGTGGTGGGTGGGGGATGGAAGTTTGTGCCTTCCCCCAGGGAGGAGCCGCAGTCCCGCAAGGCCGAGGCGCAGGAGGAAAGAACCCCTGCCCTGGGCTCCTCACCACCGACTCCCTCTCCCCGCACAGGAGGAGCTGTCCAATGTCAACCTCTCCAAGTTCCGCAAGATCCAGCACGAGCTGGAGGAAGCCGAGGAGCGGGCTGACATTGCAGAGTCACAGGTCAACAAGCTCCGAGCAAAGAGTCGGGAGTTTCATAGGAAGATAGAAGAGGAAGAGTGAGGATGTCATGAGGCAGCAAAGTGACCTGAGGGCTGCACAAAATGTGAACCTCTTGGTCGCTTTCTTCTGCAATGAGTCTTTGTACCCACCTCAGTGTCTATAGAATAAAGACCATAGATTCCTCTGCATACACACTATGAACAGTGCCTTCTTTGGGTTTTTTTCTGATCAAGCTTGGGATATTGCATTGCAGCACAAGTTTTCTTACTTTTCCTGGCTGGGGGTAGGGAAAAGCCAATGCAAACTCTGGATTGAGGACCCACAAACTTAGAGGCTGGCCATTTCTGTGGAGACTACTGATAGTCCAGCCTGTGCTCTCGTCTGTCTCCAGCAGCTCCTTGCCCTGCTCCCGCCCTCACATACTCTTAATGCTTCTCCCGTTGTCCTTTCAGCACAACGTACTTCCCATGTGAGAGGCAAGAGAGGGTGATCCCTTTCCTTTTTCCTTTCCCTGCTTTTGTTTGTGATCCCGGCAGTCACAAACCCTGAACATCAGTCTCTGAGTAAGTTGTCAGAAGTCACAGTACCCTGCACTGTGAAGGACCGACAGTTCCTTGGCAGAGACAATTTTCGGCACACCGAGCACTGTTAGCACACACATCGATAGTGCCCTGTCTCTTACCCTAGATTCCCTCAGGTGCTGCCACTGCCTGTTCCCAGTTTCTCTGCAGTGGACAAAACGCCGAGCCCTGCCTGGGGCCACGTGCTGGAAGGACTGCCCCTTAGGGCCCATTTCTCGCACACTGCGTGGCACCAACACACCTCCTCAACGCATCACCTCAAAGGTCAGCCTTGTCACCTCTCGCACAACAGGCTGCACGTGGCATTGCCTCAGGCAAGAGAAAAGAAGAAAACTGATGGGTGTACCCCTCCATTCCTTCCTCGCATACCTGTACCTCGCTTTTGGCCTACCTACAGGCTAAACAGACAATATATTTTTGGGAAGAAGGGAAAGGGAGGAGGGAAGAAGGGAAGGGGGGACTTGTCAAACACTTTTTCCTTCATTCAGACCCTGATCTGAACAGCAGAGGCACAGTGGGCACGTACAGCTACGAAGTCTCATGTGCTCTATCAGCCGTCTCAGCTGGATTATTCCGACGCATTAAGCCTTGCCTCTAGTTTGAGTGAAAGACTCACGGACAGTGCCAAGGTATGTTCAAGACAAGCGCACAGGTGTCTGCCTAAGCCGATGTTTTCATAGAACCGACAGCTCTTGGCTTCCAAGTAACTTCTGTCCCTTATTTTCAGGGAGGTCACACAGCCTTGGAGGATTTTCTCAGAAACCTCAAAGACTGCAGGGCTGTGTATACAGTGAACCAAACACAGGTTAGCGGTAACTGAGGGCTATTAAGTTAATTTGGAAACCCTTTCAGCAATATCAACTTACACAATTGCACCCACTGTTGCAGCACTGCCTGTCTGAAACGTTCGTCGCCAGTCACCCGAGCTGACTCCAGGCTGCAGGATCCCTTGGTGCAGACCAATGTGGAGTGAACGAGAAACACATTAGCAGCAGCTGAGGAGTGAGGTGCCGCTGGCGCTAAAAGGAAACAAGAAGCAGACTCGGGAGCAGAGGCCAGTGTATGTGTTGATGTTGAAAGCTTGTGACGGTCCACAGCTTCCCACCTCTGTCTACCGTACAAGCGCTAGTATTCAAAGGCAGAGGTGGGTCCTCCATGGAGCACTGAGCCTAGCAGGGCCGCAAAGATGGGAGTGGGGCTGGTGTTGTGGGCTGAAGGGACGCAGGCTGTGCAGAAAACGATTGTGCCCAAGCCTGAGGCAGGTAGCCCCTGAATGGGGTGATGGGAGGTGGTAAGGACTGACACTGTCTGCTTGGTCTAAGCTTGTAGAAGCCAATGCCAGAGGCTTTGTCTCCAAACAGATGTTCACACTGCTGGGAAGTTGCAACCGACAGCTCCATGGCTGTATGCTTATGACAGCAATATCCAAAGGGCTCTCACCTTACCTGGCTCCCAAGTGCAGCCTCACCAGCACACCAGCTCTCACAAGGAAGTCCAGCCTGCTTCCAGCGTCACTAGCGAGCATTGGCAAGCAGAACCTCTGGCAGTGCTGTCTGAAGAGAGCAATGGGAGACGGTTCTTTAGGGGCAGACCTCAGTTTTCAATCACAAGGACCTTAAGAAAGCCACCCAACACCTTGCAGAGATGCCAGACTAGTCCTGCCTTCTCATGACACGGCGCAACTTTTCCCCATGGCTCCCTAGCAGACTCCCAACCTTGTTCATCCCTCCTCATCCCCTGTGTCTGCCGCCACAGCTGGGGTTTGTTGTGGTGAGCCTCGCCTGCCCAAACCCACCTATGAGCTGACTGCTCCTCTTGGGTGGCTCGAGAATCTCTAGCCACACCTGCAGGCTTCTCCAAAGCTTCAGGTGGGGCTGGGTAGATGACACAACACATCCATGGGTATCCCTGTTAGCTGTAATGGCTTGTACAAGGATAAACCTCTGAGACTTTCTGAAATCCTGCTTTACAGACCCTGCACCATTCTTTGCCTGCCTCGCATTGTCTCCACCGTGGAAGCTTCAGGATGTGTCATCAGAATGAAGCAATGCAGCCGGCAAAGCCAGGCACAGGGAAGAGAGAAGGCGGCAGGCATGAAGAGGAGCGAGCAGGCTGATGGCTCCTGGCCACACTGGTAAGTGTGACGCTTGGAGATAGTTTCTTTGGTGACTTGTACAAAAGAATTGTCACAAAGGGCATTGGTGGGAAAGGACAGGCAAGTCACTGAAGAAGCAGCTCTCGCATCACGGGTGTAACTGTGTCTGTTCTGACCTACCGTAGCCTTCTTTAGACTCTGGTTTGCAAAGTCAACTGTTTCTTCCTCTAGCCTCCTATGTGTTTCACCTGCACACAGTTACATACCCTCTGGTATCTCTCTAGCTCTCAAGGATGTGCTTGAAAATAAAGCAGGCAGCCGCATGCCCTAAGCTCAGGGACAGGGGCACACCCTCAGGCAGGACTTGCCGTAAGCACGGCTGGGCAATGCTGACGGGACCGAGGCCTGGCCTTGCGCCCCCGGCAAATTCACAGCTCCCTGCTGGCCCCCGCCTCCTGGGCTCTGAGGTCCCACCAAATCGCCCATCAGCCTTCACAAGAGTCATTCCCAGAGGAGGAGGCCTCTCGTGGCCGCAGAGAGCTTTGGAGGTTGCCCATGCCAGGAGGATCAGCCCGTCATTCGTCTCCCTTCATCCTCGGTGTCAAAAGCTCAAAATAGCCCCGCTCTTGCAAGACTCCTGCGCGGGGTCATGCCTGGTTGTGTAGATGATACGCTTCCACTAATAGCGCTCGAAGACATTCCTCAGCGGGTAGGTTGCCTTCTATATCTCGGCGCAACGTGCTGCCACGTAGGAGCTGGACAACTGTGTTGTGTCCTAAGACGGCAGATGCTATTCTTACCCCAGAGAGACTTGCTCCGGCACAGCTCCTTTCTCAGCTGAAATGTTAAAAATCAGAAGCAGGCCCAAGCGTGCTCTCCCTGGTAGGAGTATTAATCAAGGGTGGCCCCTTTGAAGCCCGTGCAATGACGCTGTGCCAACCCAGTGCCTGGGCGCTCGCCATGCCCTCCTGGGATGTGCTGTCCCATGGGGAACACAGCAGCTGCCCAGGTACTTCCAGCGGTCAGTCGGGCCTTAGTTTGGGGTGGATGGGGGTGTCACTTCTCTTGTAAGCCAACAAATGAAAGCAATGCCTGTGGACCTGAAAGCCCATTTTTTGGAGATCAGCAAGAGGCCCCAATCCATGAATCCCTTCCCTGGTGAGGAAGGCAGAGGCAGGGCTTGCTCCAAGCTTGCTCCAGAAC